CAGATAACACAGATTGAAACAAGGACAGGCAGGTGAATTTGAGTACGTTTACTAAAGCTGAAAAAAACTAATTTGAAATTATGAAAAAATATATCATTTTGTTTCTCGCATTGACAGCATATTTTCTAGTTTTAAGATAAATCTCTTTTTTGGTGCACGAGGAATGATGTTGTTGTTCCTGTGTTTACCTGTAATCATGTAGCTGTGTAAGCAGAGGCTGCGGGTCTGCACTGGTTAATGTGGGCTCATAAGTGGAGTCGTTAATGTCATTATCTAACATTAAGTTCCCGCTGCTGTTTCCTTTTGTCTGTGGGCAGCTTTTCTCCTGTCCTATCTGTTTATGCAGGGTAAATAGTGCCCTAGTTAGTCTGCTGTCCGTGTGCGTGTTTGAGTATTTCAGTAAAAGTGTGTGTTCACCTGTGCTTTAAAGAACTTTTCCTATGTGTGCTGTGTGTGTTTGTTTGTTTGTGTTGGCTCAGATAGACTAGAGGAGATGGAGCTTGACACAAGCAAACACTGCCTCTATACAGATGGACTTCAGAGTTAGATTTCACTATTAATATAAACAGGGTTATATTGTATTGTAAAATGTGATTTGCATCCATAGTGTTTGTCTTTTCATTCTTTAAGACTATTTGTACACATGTAGTTTCAGAAGAGTGTTACATTAGTAGATTGTGTTGTTGTGTTGAGGATTTTATCCATGTTAGACCATGTTAAGATGTTGCCTCTCTGAACTTTTATAAAATCACAAAATAGTTACCCCAAACTAAAATTGTTAAAACAGTTATTTCAGTTTGCAGAGCAGGCATCATTGGAAACACATGACAATAATTAGGTCAGGATAAACCACTGCAGAGGTGGGTTGCAAAGTGGCTTGCAGGGACAAGCTAAAGTCAGTTAAGTAGCACAAATTCAGCCCTTCTTCAGTCCTCCTCAGGCTTTTTAGATTTTTATTCACCCTCCACTTGCCAAGGTTAGGGAAAGGAAACCATGATGGGGAAGCTGTCACTGTTGTTACAGTTGTTACGGAAGGTAGTTTCTCAGCAAGAAACTATTTATAAAGTGCATGAGAGAGAGGAAATGAAAAATGAAGACCAGGGAAGTGTGAGTTACCTGTTCCAAAGCTTTCAGGTTTCACACATATAAGGAGCAGTGCAAAACTTTTTTTCTCTTGAAGCAATAAACTAAATGTATTTCATATCCTGTGTAGCTTCGGAAAGATTCTTACGGTGTGCTTTGTGGTCTTTCGACCAAACAGCTTCCTTAGTTAAAATAAAGTGTTGAAAGTGTTTTGTAAAAGTGTGAAATGACAGGCATAAAACATAAAAGGCAGAGGGTGTGAAAGAGCGAGGGGGGGGAGCAGATTCACATATAAAGAGTGGAAGAGTTAAAAGCATTGAGTGAGTCCAATCACACTCTAAACAGAACGATATTAATCATAGAAAATAACAAAAAATAAAGCCATTGCTTATGTGGACGCTAAGGATGACGGAGTTTTCTGAAACACAACATTCATCCTGTACTTACTGGTGTCAAAATACACATTTAGATACACAGATATCCAAATGCACGTCCAAACTAAGCAGGTTTCTGGTTTTTGTGGACGTGCGTTATGACACTGGGTTAAAGGAATGTCCCTAAACCAACACTCACTAACTACAAGAAGTTGTGTCATTCATTCACTACAGGTTCGGCCACACACGGGTGATCAAAAGCACATTCTGTGGAGACTCGAAACTGAAATTGGTGGCCGTGTTAAAAACTGTGTTTGTGGCTCAATACAGAGTGTAAACCTGACTTGTTTATGTAATGTTATCTGATTAGTGAACTTTGTCACTATGGCTCTGTGTTGGGGTTTTATGCTCCAAACAACCATTAAAAAACAATCTGGCCTTGACCAGTTGACTTTGCTGTTATAAACCTGCTTCTTATTACAGGGGGAGGGGAGGGTGAGAACAAAAGATCTACCTGCATGTGAGTGTGATGCACTGTCAGTAGGAGTTGAATGCCTGCAAACAGACTGCAGTTTGCTGGATGTGAAACACTGAGCTCTGTGGTTAATGCATTGATCTGTACATTAGATATGAGTGATGCTAATGGGCCAGGGCAGTGCTGATCACGCCACATAGAAGCCAGTGTAGCTGCTGAGTAGCCTTGTCTGTCCAGTGATGGTAAAAGCACAAATGTCCTGTAATGTTTAGCAGGCTGCTGTTGTATTAGTTTGGCTGTGAATTATTTCACTATGGATTAAACATGACGGGACTTCATAAAAATGTTTGCAACCAGCTGACATAGCTGATTCTAATGTGCCATAAAAAAGTTGCATTAAGTTCAGGTTTCTCTTTCTTTATCAGTTGTTTGCGCAAGGTGCATCTAAATGAGATCCTCTGACTTTCCTTTGTTGCCACCAACAGGTTATCGTTTTTCTTACAATAAAAAGCTATGAATATGTTTGCAAATTGATGAATTTGCAAGGCTTTTATTCATACTTGTGGATCAACCTTCCATCTCATCTTTGCACCTCGTTCAAACTTTTCAGTGTCCGACAATCGAAGGAGTGGAATCTTTAAAATATCACGCCTCGGCTCTTTTCACCAGTGGCAGTACACGTGCATGCCATGTAGGTCTACCTGTAGGTGTTTTGTGTGTGTAGTTCACACTCCGGGCACACACACGCTAAATCACAAACATTTTCCATATTCTACCAACCCTTGCACACACAAAGCATTTACGCACACACCCCCACACACACCAGCCTCCTCCTCCTCCTCCTCTCTCTCTCTCTTTCTCTCTCTCGGTTTCTCACTTCCTCCCTCTCTTTCTCTCTGTAGGAGAGTGACTTAAACCGCACTGACAGCTCACAGCTCACGCTGGCTGCTGTCTGATCCTCATATCGGATCTTTTTAGGATCGCGTGCGCCACCTTTACGCGCTCCTGTCTGGGCTGACAGGTTGGAAGGGTGCGCTGTTATTTCCCATCCTATGGAAATCCAGTCCTCACAGAAAAACTGGAGTTACCGTTAGCTTTGCTACGCCATTTAAACTCAAGGAGCACTTGCTTTAATGGAGCGAGGAAGACGTCTGCAAAAGTGAGTATTACCTACTCTGACCCAAGTTAAGAAGAGGTGTTATCCACTAGCTGCTCGTGGTTTGTAACGAGAGAAGAACAAATACAATATATAGCAAGCTCGTCTCAGATATTGAACTGAGCCCAATATATGTATCCCATATAATATGATATGGTATAAAATTATGGGTTCTCCTTTAAATGCTTTCCTACCAGGAGCTATCTTTACGCGCCATGGTACCTATTTCTGCGTATTGCATATTTTAGACCCGTATTGCATACAAGCTGCCCACGGGATGACAGGACAGCCTGTCTTGATGAGTGCTTGTCAGAGCAGGATACTTCTTAAGCAAATATACACCCGTGGTTTCCTTTTTTATATACATCAGGACCTCCAGTTTGTGGTTTGGTTTTCTACCAGAGTGGCTAGTGCAGCAGACAAACCTGCTGCAAGACCCAGACATTTATTTCAGCACTTGTCTGGTGCAAGGGTTGTAATTTCCCTGCCGTGCTGCCATTCTGCAGAAAGAAATGTGTGCCCGTGTGTGCTTGTATATGCGTGTGAATGTGTGTATTTTCCAGTTGAAAAAGATTAAGGGTGTTAATTTTCAGCACCAGGGCCCCAGATATCTACTTAGTCCAAACTGTCTGTTGGTGAGTGAGAGTAAAGGAGGAGGCTTTACACAGAGAGAGGTCAGGCTTGAAGTGAGTGGGAGAGGGCTGGTTTTGTTTCATGCAGTGCTCATGAAATACTGACCAGATGCTGAATGAGAAATGCTCTGTAGCCCTCATAACCGCAGTCCATGAAACCACAGTCCCTGTGCCCCAAGCAAGCCATTATACCACTCTGTATTGTGGTGCAAGAAAGAGGCAGAAGCAGACAGGAGTGCTTGCAGACCAAGGTTTAAGCCTCGGTTCATGTGTATCATTCAGTTCGGATACATTTTCAAGAGCACGGCCAAGTGTAAGTTACCAGAGCCTCTGTGAGCCATAGACAGCCATCAAAGGAAGTTGTGACTGCTCTACTCACTGGATTTTAACCATACATTAACATTAGCAGCTCTAACACTGAAAGAGGTGACTTTCCGGCCTCCTAAGTGTTTGACCTTGATTTCTTACTGAGCGTGTGCTTCATGTAAAAATGAGTCAAAAATAAAACAATGAAAATATGAAAGCTATGAAAGTCCTGCTAGTTCATATAACTGCAGCTGTCAGGCAATAAAAGATCATGGTGTATATTGCATAGCGGCAAATACAGTTTCCAGGAACTGAAGGACGAACCACTGGAGAGTTATTGCACCTGTGTTTTAAATTAAATAGGTCATGATTACCCTGATCATGACCTGTTTCACCTAATCACCACCTGCACTGCACATGAAACTAGCCAAACCTATATACTTTATTTATTTATTTTTCTTTGAAGCTCCATAGTGTTTTATAAAAAGATGCATAAATGTCTGTGAATAACTTTGCATTTTAATTTTTCTGGG